TTCGAATGTTCCTTTTCGGACAGATCGAGTTTCAACAAGACGAAGATGAATATTAGAAAATGTTTGATTATCTTACAAAGCACGATCGGGATATATCTGGTGATAAGTCCGTCTGTCTTGCTCACCATTACCGTCGGCAAGGCGATATACGTGATGCATTGCCGCCATTCCTGCATTTGAATAATTCACCATTATAAACAAAATTGTAAGAACTAAATAATGAAAAAGATGTCGCAGCGAACAAAGTTGAATAACAGAGACTTGTCATATTTCAAAAGCCAGTGACATATTCCAGAGCAACTAGATATTTATTGCTAAATTGCATTCTTCAGTTATAACATTAATTTTCTCGGACAATAGAACAGTTTTTATTTTTTCACTCAAAAATGGCGCCTCGAAGGAAAACAATTCACGACAAAGTATTTCTTTTGAATTGGACGTGAAATTCAAAAATAATTTTTATTCGGCAAAAAACCATTGGCGTACCATTTATTTCTTAAAAAATATCGAAGTTAATACCCGTACGCACGCCACTGGTAAAGCTAAAAATTATTTTTGCAATGAAAAATATGCAACTTTATTAAGTTTCACTATGTACTAAACATCAGTGAAATATCTGAAGCGGTTCTGAAAATATTAATTAATTTCCATTTTTTTCTTAAAATTTCAACACCCCAAGTTTTTGTAAGGAAACATTTTTGGACCATAGCTTATAAAGCAAACTAACATTAATTTTTCATGTAGATTCACATCCTTAAATATTCGCATATCATTGAGAAACACCCACGTATAAGCAAAAGTAAAGGAAATAATGGAAATTTTATTCGGTCCGATGTAAGTATGCCCCATTTAGGTTGGCTTTATCACATATAATTGCTATGCTCGATGTTTCTTATATTCATAACGTATGTCTTAAAAGTTTTGGCACAAAGTATCTATCGGATTTTCTTTAATGAAGAAATTTATTTACACTAATTAGTTATCATAAGTTGCAACTCAATACCTAACGAAACTATACTATCGAATTATGTGGATTGGCCCATTCTGCTCTAGCAGACAAAACTTTCTTCGAATGTCTCTCATGAGGTCCTGGACGGAATTCAGATCAATTTCTCTCAGTTTTTCGTGAATTCGCCGTCTTAATTAATTGTTCTTCATCTTGGGCTTACCAGCCTGCATGATAAACCTAAAAAATCCTCTACTGGGCGAGCCTGTGGCAAGTTTCGAGGATTATCGTTTTTGGGTATATGTTGTTGTCGAGACCAGTTTTGGGAATCTCTAGAGCAATGGAATGAGGCTGGGTCTGGCCAGAAGATATGGTCATTAGCATGATGACGGTGGACAAACTGAAGCAATTTGGAAAATCAGTTATCAATATAGCTCTGACTTTTCAAAGATTCACCTCTCACTCGTCGTTTCCCTTTATTTCAGAATTACTCACAGTTCAATACTTTTCTGCAAAAAAATCGATTTTTCCATTGGCAAAGTGTACCGGCCTCACTTGACGATAGCATCTTGGTATGTTGTTGCGCTTGAGAGTATTTGGTGCACTTACGTCTCTTTCAATATTTAAGACCATTCTTCCTCAATTCTAACTATAACCTGATTGTTTGCTCTTCTCACCAATCTCTCGGACAGTAAATGCACGTGGTCTTCCATTTTTTGGAAGATTCAGACATGGTATTCCCTGCTCGCACTCCGCCCTTGTTCGATAAACGGTTCTGCAAGAAATGTTTTCATTCTGGAATATTCGACAGATTTCAGCTTTGGGTACCTGCTCAACCAACTGGTAGATACTTTTACTGATTTCTAATTTATACGACACCTTAAAGCGAAAACTTAAAAATAAATAAATGTCAACTGACAATGAAGTAGGTAAACAAACTTTTGTTTCTAAATGCAACTTGATATGATTATTGTTTGTTAAAATGAAAGCCAATCAATTTTGAGCCAAAAGTTTGAGGTTATACGTTAGTCCACATTTTGGCCTGGCACCTAATCTAAATGATAACTGAATTGGTGGAATTGGTAGTGTATACAATCTACGCTATTTTCAGTCTTAATCACAAAAGCAAGTCCGTCCAGGTCTGAAACTTTAGTAATCTGTGTCCTGATCAGAAGTCTGTTGTCATTTGTGACAATGGCTTACCTGGAGCTTTTATTTGTGAGATTGCGTATGGTTTTGATGCAATTCAATCTTAAGACATCAAGATTGATAATTTTATGAAAGCTTAATTAGCCATATTCGCGAACTGTTCAAAAAATAATGTGTACTCACCAACCGCTGAGTTAGCTTTTAAAAGACAGCGAATTTGTGTAGATTACGTCAGATCTCCTGAACTCACCCTTGGAATGTTTTAAAAATAAACATTGCTTCCTCGATATTATTTAAAAAACCAGCTGATTTGCTGAAGTCACGTCACATAAACCGATACAGATATTCCAAATTCGTGTTACGGGAGTTTGACGATTTCATGATACAGCTGTTCTTTAACGGCCCAATATCGTGACTAAGCTTTACGATTTGTCGGAAGAACTAAAAAATATCATATCTGTATTTATATAAATATCCGAAGGCATGCGATTGCCCCGCATTTTACTTTGAAACAAAAGTGAAACCTGTACAGTTCACCCATTTTTTCAAACTGGCAGACTTAGAATTGCAGCTCCCTTGTTTATATACAAGTGCGAACTACGCTTGAAATTACAAAGCTGATGAGTTGTGAAACAGTAGCGAGAAAGTGAAAAAAATAACTGATGAATTACCCATGAATTCATGGGCAGTGAAATTTCAAGTACGGCTCTGTCACTCTGTACTCTTCGAAGTTGTCGCCGCTGGTAAAATCTTTTTTAGAAGCTAACCATCCAGCCGATGACCATACCGTTTACCGTGCCAAAATTTAAAGATGTTAGCGAAAATGTAACCGGGAGACAACGTTTCGAATAACCGTGACTAATATGGACTTCAATCTTCGGGATCATTTTCATCTTAGTGCAACAACCACTCACAAGAACGCACCCTTGCAGGAAAATTCTCAGCTTCACTTTAGTCTTGGAAACTTGAATGTGTTCAGTCACATTCCTAGTGCTTGTTAAATGATTTTTTTCTACAATGTCTGATAATCCCCTCTCAGTTTGAACCTTTTGGGGTTGTCTATATCTCCCACTGTGCCCACCCAGATGTTCCTGCAAACGACTAGTATCCCTATAAACTTACACAAGGTATACAAATCTATTCCTCTGAATGACAGCATCTTGAAAAGCGATCTGGATACACTCGCGAAGCCGCGAAAGCATTTTGAAGATACTAACCATAAATTACAATAATGTGGACAAGTTTGGTATTGCTGAACGAGTGTGCCATTTTCGTTTTTTTGTTCGAACTGATTGAAAATTAAATCTTTACACTGCCTTCTTTACTGACGTGCGTTGTGCCTTCTCACTGGTGATCTGATCAAGATACAGAAGCGGATTGGGTTTGGTCCAGGTTTAACTGATTTTGTGGAGCCTAATGTTTCGGTCATCTTACGGACTTGGTATACAACTTACTAGGAGAAACGGCTTATTTTTTAAGATCTGTGCGCCATGTAAAGATAAGTCCCAACTTTGCGGACACCCTTTTCATTTATGGAGGTGAAAATGTTATTCAAAAATGCTTGTCTTATGTACGTACGTGTAACATATTTGGGATTAATTTTCAAGACAACACAACACGTATGGCGTGGAAAAAATAGGCCATATTGGTTTGTATTAGAGTCATAGCTGCTTTAAGGTATTTCTCAATAACACAAATTTTATCAAATATGTCTGGATCATCAATATTTGATATCCAAAAATATTTATGTAGTGAAATTATACCTAAAGATTTAAAAGAGTTACATTTTGGAAATTATTTTAAAGAAATTTGAAAAAGTGGCTACATTCAATATCTAGGACTGAAATACATAAACTCATAAACACGAACATCAAGTAAATACATAATTTACTGTGACTAATTTTTGTCCTTTTTTGTCGTTTGAATTCTACAGGCGCAACTTAAAATTATTGGTCCATGTACACGCAATACCTTCTATGGGGCATGTTTTGATTCTATATTTATTTGCTCATGTTGTTTGTTCTCTTTGTAGATTGGGTGAATAAATATTATTATTATATTATATTTGACATACATTCACCCTTGTAGGACCTCCTGAGGAATACAATAAACATTTTCGAAAGCTTGTTTGGGGCATGATATCCAGATGTACACATCTGAAAAATCAAATCCTAATTAGTGGAGGTTTCTCACATATCTAGGGGCTCCCTATTCAGGTTTCCCTACTTACGCAATATGTTGCTTTAAGAAAAATGGTGTAAAGTAGGTTGACTCTGCACTCCCCAGGCAACGCCGTAATCAGTTCATAATCAGACCCTCCAAGAAGAAGGTCAGTCAAGCAGGTTGATAGAATTAGTCTCTCCTACCGGTAGTGCATCTGGCAACGTCGCCCTAACATCACCCCAGAACTACAGAACTCACCAAGCCGGTAGCGTGCCGCGAGTAGCACCAGTCGCAGCCGGTAGGTACGTGATCCTACTGCTGAGAATGGCTTTTATGATGTGTGAAATATATCTAATAGGTGCCTAGAAATACCAATTGGGGTGTATAAATGTAATGACATAAAAAAATTGATATGATCTCTGAAGCCCTCTTCAGAACCGATCAGGATTATCTGAAAAGTTAAAAACGAGGTTTAAGCGATTCTCTTTCTTTTCCTCTTTTGGCTTTTTTCTCTGCCACCACTGGACAGATTTTCAAAAACTACAGAGCTCTAGCATTCTTGGTGTAGTAGTAACATTTCGTCTATGTCCGAGCAGTACTTCTCAAGTTACAGGCGGTTATAGGGTAATTCCGGTAGAGATCAACCACCGGGAGAGACCGACCACTGCCGGTAACTTAACCACAAAGCAATAGATGAATCCGTGACTCACATGTATGATGCAATTAGTTGACCTTGTTACATGGAACACGTAAACACGCTCCGTAACAGTAGTATAAATGTACAAACTAAATTTAAAAATTTGTGCAAACTTGACAATTTTTTGACTGATTTACTGTGTTCGTGATATTTTAAAGACGGGTAAGTTTAATTGAACTCTGTCAATACTGGATGATAAGATATGCATCAAACTATAACATAACCCCAAAAATGTAGGCATTTATCATTTTTCCTTCGGTTAACAAGGTGGTCGATCTCTCCCGTAACTTTGGTAGAGTACGACCACATCAATCCGGGAGAGACCGACCATGGAAATAATAATAGTAATAATGAAATATTCGGCGGTCTGAAGGAAATTAGTGATACAATAAAGCTCAATTTGAAAAAATAAAATTATTGTAAAATAATATTGTTACAGATTAACAAAAACGCCCACGACTTACAAAAGGAAAAATGAAGAGAGAGCTAAATGGAGTGCCGGTTCTTTAAGAAACGCAATTGAATGTGTACAAAATCGTACAATGGGTGTAAATGAAGCCGCCAGACAATTTGGAATACCTAAAACAACGCTAAAAGATAGGATTAAGAAGGGGGTCGCAATAAAACAACACAGATTAGGTCCGTCGTCAGCGTTGGGAGAAGATGCAGAACTAAAATTGGTGCGATACATAAAAAAATTGCAAACATTTGGATTTGCACCAGATCGGGAATCCGTCAGAATATGGGCTTTTCAACTTGCAGAAAAATTAAAACTGAAGCACACGTTTAATAAAGAAAGAGGCAAGGCCGGTTATGACTGGCTTAACTCGTTTTTACGTCGACATCCTGATATATCGATTAGAAAAGCCGAAGGAATTTCTTTTAACCGAGCGACTGGAATGAACCGTCTGTCTGTGAAACACTATTTTACCCTTTTAGAAAATGTTCTCACTGATAACCACCTTCATAGCAAACCTTCAAATGTATTCAACATGGACGAAAGCGGTTTGCAATTAAACAATAGACCAACCCAAGCTTTAGCCGCAAAAGGATCAAAAAGTGTTTCTTCGTTAACATCAGGTGAGAAAGGCGAAACAATTTAGATTATAGCGTGCTGCAGTGCAGAGGGGATGTTTCTCCCACCTTACTCCGTATTTAAAGGTAAAAATAAAAAAATGGAGTTTTTAGAAGGAATGCCACCTGGCTCCCAAATGTCTATGTCGGCGTATATCAACGTTTCCATTTGCAAGGATTGGTTGGAGTTTCATTTTTTGCCAAGAAAACCAGCTGGAAAAGTGTTATTAATTGTCGATGGGCATACTTCTCATACCAATTCTGTGGAAATACTGGAATTTTGTGAAGCTAATGACATAATTCTACTTTGTTTACCGAGTGACACGACTCATTATCTACAACCGTTAGATAGGTCCTTTTTTAAATCTCTGAAAAACAATTACTACGCGGCTTGTAACAATTTTTTAAAAGCAAATCCAAGTAGGAAAATAACAAGGATAATTTTTGGAAATCTTTTGGGACAAGCCTGGGGCAAATCAGCGACTGTGGAAAATGGAATGTCAGGTTTGAGAGCTACAGGCATAGCACCTTTTAACCCAGAAGTTATTCCAGATTACGCGTATATTAATATTCAAATGGAACACGATGCAGAAACCAGGTCTGGTTCAAATAATAACACTCAGAATCCATCCTCTTCTTCGACTCCGCCCCGGTCCCCTACCGTTCAGACAACTAATACCCGCATTTTGTCACCACTGCCTGGTTGTTCGCACGATCCTGACAGTGCAATAGTTGACATTTACCCCCACACTCGACTCTACTCTAGCAAAATTGTTGGAGAACGTGATTTCACCCATTCCCAAAACTAACGCAAAAGCAGTAGTTAAAACACGAGGTAGGGAGCTTGCAACTATTTTAAACAGTTCACAACGAATTGAGATTCAGAAGGATAAAAAGAAAACAAAGAAAAAAACAAATGTCCAATTCAGAAAAAAACTGTGGTTAAACAGAAAAAAACATTAGAAGATTCAGATTCGGAGAGCGAAAGTGATACGTCAGCAGATGAATGGGACGAAAACGAATGCGTAGGATGTGGGGAAAATTATTTTAAAACCACTAAGAATGACGAATGGCTCAAATGTGTGCAAAGTAGTCGTTGGTTTCATAATGGATGCTCAAAATTCGAGAATATTTGCGATATATGCGGAAAATTGAAGTCGAAAAAATTAAATGCATTTATACGATTTAATTCTACCCTTATTATTATACTGTTCAAACATGTTTTATTATTTTATGTTTTCTTATTTTTCGAAGTCGATCTCACCCGTAGTTGGTGGTCGGTCTAACCCGGACATCCGGGTGAGATCGACAAGTTACAATGTTTAAACTTTTAGTTCAAAATAAACATTTATGTTTGTATTATATCTTAAATTGTGATTTATTTACTATCCTAACCCTTTAGGTAATGCTTCACAGTTAAAAAAACACGTACCTTAGAAACCAAAATATTTACAATATTTTTTCCAAAATGTGGTCGATCTTTCCCGGACTTACCCTAAGATTAGCGGATGTGTGACATGGTTTTTCGTGATATACATGTCATATACGAGTAGTATCCAAAAACATGACCACTCATTTTAGAAAGTTATTTCGATTACAAAAAACATCTGTTATGGTTAAGTGTTTTCGCATTGTGGTTGATCGGAACTTTTGTCGATCTTTCTGTCTTTGTATTAAACAAACAAGTGCAGTGACGTTGTAGGCAATAGTCAAGCAAAATCGTACGAAAGCCCATTGTTGTATGGACCAATAGACTACACTGCCAAGCAAGTTAGAACAAAACTAAACCGTGCAATTTCAGGTTCAACCAGGAATAAATATTTAATTAAATACATCCTCTTGTTCAATCTGAAATCCCCCGTTCCTAGTTAACACTACCTTCCTTAATTCTGTACTTCTTAGCTTCTCTCTCTGTGTCCTTGTCTACTTTCTGAGCATACGCACCTGACAGACCTATTGATCTCAAGACTAAGAGCAAATAACATACGGTACTCACTAACAGACATCAGCGGGCAAAGGGAGAATATCAATCTCTTGAGCACATTGAAAGGGCAGCTCTAACATATGTTCGACCCAGGTAGTTAGTCTTTTCCCTTTGACTGCCTACTTCCATTATACGAGGAGGTACCTAAAAATAACCGAAATAGCATTGCAGTGGGTGGAGCTTGTGTAGTACACATTTCTGTCCCTAGAGGCGTACAGCTCAACTCATTACCAGTTCAGTGCCACCTGAGTTGTCGATCTGGCTTGTTCCGTTCCTCTGTAGTCATTTTTTCTGCTAGAGCTGTTTGGTGCTTGTTTCGTTTTCTACGATGGCAAGCTTCAGTGAGCAACGTGCAGCTGTGAAATTTTAATTGGTAAAAATGCTGCCGAAACTGTTTCAATGTTGAAAATAGCTTACAATGATGATGCTGTGGGAAAAACTCACGTGTACTCTGTACATATGCTAAATATGTTGGTATACAACTGCACCATAAACTAACTTTCTGCTATCATATTTTTGTTAAAATGCCATAACCAATGATTTAAGACAAACAACGCATGCAAAGCTTTCGACACCTTAGACCACGACACGCTTCTCACAAAATTGATATACTTCGGTTTTTCTTATAACTCGGTTCTACTTCTTGAGAGCTACTTAAAAAATCGCACTCAGATTACAGTTATAGATGATAATTACTCTTCCTCGTTGAATAAGGTTTTCGGTGTTCCACAAGGTTCGGTCTTGGGTCCACTCCTTTTCAGCTTATACACAAGTGACTTTCACCATTTTGTTAATTTTTCTCAGTTACATCATTATGCCGACGATACCCAGATATATAATAATAATAATAATAATAATAATAAATGGCTTTATTCGAAGAGACAATGCATACAAAAATAATGTTCAACAAATAGGAATAATTGCTCTCGAATCTCAAGGGGGAGTTCACGACCTGCGTGCTCTTCCACTCATCCCTTGCTCTATTTTAAAATAGGGATATCAACTGTTACATGCCTACTACTAGAGTTCGAACGCTCTAAGAATATGACCGCTACGTCATCGTGGGCGGGTCCGCTCATCTCGAGGTCGTCGACAGAGCGCAGTGGTGTTCTATTCTATTTGAAGTATAAAATAAAGTGAATAGGTTGTGTAGACATTGATCATTAATTGATTTATGTATTATTATATTCATTTAGTATGCGCATTAAGTTGTTCGGAAGCAAAATTGAATTAGAAGAGGGAGCAAACTAAAGACGGTTATAATTCAAATTATATATTATCATTAAAAAATCTAATCGCTATCAGATGATAGTGTGTTTAGCTCCAAATCTTCATCTGAGTCGCTTTCGTCACTATCTTCTGATGATGACCCTGTGTTCACAGTGAATTGATACTTATCCATTTGATCGTCGAGAAGATGTTTTTTTTCCATTTGTGCTTGCTCATATTTTTTCACGTGGTTACAAATTTTCTTCCACTCATCTGCTCCAATTTCTTCAAACCTGCTACGGGTCAGATGCTCTACATCAGACAACCTAAATGTCACATTTCGTGGAACAACCCAGTTTTTTACGAGAGCCCAAATCTTCTCGATTGGGTTTAGCTCCGGATGATATGGAGGCAGTCGTGCTGTTCCACTAAGGCATCTAGCTTGTATTTGACTGGAAATCTTCTTTTATTTTCCTGTATTTTTTTATATAGTTCGGCCTTAGTCAATGAGTTTTCACTAGGAATTTGATGTTTTTCTAGCCAGTCAATCATCTCTGATTTCAGGCTAGAAGAGGTTACATTTTTTTCTTCCAGGACATTGTGATAAGAAGCGTTGTCAACTACAAGCACAGAATTTTCAGGCAAATTTGGGATCAATTGGCTTTCTGCCCATTTCATGAAGTTCAAATGATTCATGTCGTTGTGGTAGTCCCCAGATTTTGAGCTTGAAAATAAAATACATACATATATTCCAGTAAATGTAAAAATATATTGGAAATATTTTACATCATTGTAACACAAATAATACCTGATTTAAATATCAACAAGGCGTTAGGAATAAAGCCGAATTCTCCACCAGCATGCACAATAATCATTCGATGTCCTTTTGATGAAGGCGTTTTTAGTTCCTTGTCATAATTGTCATCTGACCATCCTTTTTTTGGGGTATGACTAGAATGTATATATGTTTCATCCGTATAAATTGTGTTCCTGTTCTCAGCTCTATATTTCATAATTTGCTTCAGATATTCGATACGCTTCAAGCGAATTTCATATTTTTCCATGAGAGCTTTTTTATTATTAGTAGTTCTTTTCCATCTGTAGATATAAATTATATTTATAGCGTTGTAAATCGAAAACCTTATAGTGTGTATGAGTACTGACCTAAAGCCCATTTGTTTCAAAAGTTTGTTCAAAGTCGTTATTTTACCCTCAAAATTGAGTTGTTGATCTTGCATTTTTTGGTAAATACCTAAAAAATCTTAAAATGAAATATGACTAGTTGCTACGGTTACAATTTAAAAACTTACATTTCAGCGAAGGTCTTCTTTTCTCCAAAATATAAAAATCGTATATGATTGCTTTCATTTCTTCAATTTGGCCTGCAGCCACTTTATCCACAACAGGTGATTTACGTTGCCGCTTTTTAGACGGGGATGAAAATGAAAAGTTGCTTGAATATATTCCATCTCTGCTCTCTTTAGCTATTTTTTGATAAGTACATTTACTTATACCCGTGGCAGCTAACACACGTTTCGTAAATGGGTTAATCAGTTTTATTTGACAATAATTATAAAAATCTTTTACATTCATACATACCGGTATTGTTGAAGTGGAAACTTTAATCCCTCTACACTTTCCTGTACCATGAAGTTATTGACATTGTTGATAATTTAATTTCCTTGACTCCCAATCGCCTTTCCTTTCACGCCAATTCTTTCACAGACATTGTTTAGATCACTGGTTCAAAACTATTAATAGTTTAAATTTGGACAATAGTAAAAATTTCCACTATATTGCAATCTATTTGACAATTTTTACACACGGTGCCTTGTTCAAATTAGTTTACAAACTGAACTTATGACTAACGAACAGGTTTATATATCTGTTGCAGGTAAAATAAATGTGATTAATTAACACTCATCGTCTTAACGCTACTTACGAACGGGATTTAGCAACCGGGAATTATTCCAGGTAGTTCAATTTTACACTTGTTATTATTAGATTTGTTTCTACTAATTTTGTTTACCTAGGTTTGATATTGGTATTAGCCTATTTATCTAAGTACTAATGATGCACTCTAGGAAATCTCATGATTGGTATAGATATAAGCGGATCACAGTCTTAGGATTAATTTAGTTACTTTCAGTTGTTTGCCAACTTTGAGGTTTTACCCTTCAATATTGTGTCTATTATATGTAGGTACCTGCTCACTATTTTATATTTTGATTTATGGATCTCCATCAAATATCCACAAACCCCATAAGATTAATAATTTTCAACACAATCAAATATAAAATATGATATGGTTAATAAATAAAAAAATAAATAAATCGAACAAACGTCTCATCAGATCGCAATTGTGTCAACAATCTCAACTGACTGAAACTTGCGTATCTACATACTAAAAAACGTTCCGCCTATGGCTTACTGAGAGTGGGATGTCCCTTAACAGCGTCAACAGCAACATCATTTCTGGACATTGAAGACCACATACATTTTTAAGCTTTCTACGATATAAATATTCGCCACGATTAGAACTGGACCACATTAAGAGGGCGGTAACAGATGTCCATAAATCTTACCAGAGACTATCACAACAATTTCCTATATTCTTATAGGGTACAATCGACGCAAGGGAGAGGGTATAAAGTGATGACGTAGCGGGCATAACCTTAGGCTGTTCGAACTCTAACTATATGAGAGCAGAAAAAAAAGCATGAGTACAAAAAAAAAACAAATAGCACTGAAAATATAAAACTGATAATATTCCATCATATAATCATTAAATTCATCCAAAAAAGCTAAATGTTACAGTATTATCAGTGAAGTTAATTATACCTATCTAAAAGGAATCGTCTCAGAGCTGCCTTGAATTTGCAACCTTTCATATTTTTGATTTGCTGGGGGATGGAGTTGTATAATTTATAGATGTTGTATTGAAGCCACGTTCGAAAAAACATGTTCGATGGAATGGAGCAGAAATATTCTGTTTCGAAGGAACATTGACAGAATGAATACTTTC